GTGTGGATGTCAGCCTGTTTGATAGAAGTTATAGTGCTGTTTCTCACCCATAATCATGCTGCATAGGCCTATGCATGGCTGCAGACTAAGCACATGAGGAAAAGAGAGTGTGAGGATTGAGAAAATTTTGGAGGGAACAATTATTTTTGCAACAAATGTGGAAAATATAACCCACAAGGACTCCTTGTTTCAGGAAAACCAAAGGTGTAACTATAAAAGCTCTTCTGGGGCTTTGCATCCAGTCAATGGCAACTAGAAAGAAAAAGATCTTGTGCAGAAGATCTAGGCACCAGGTCTTCTACTTCCCCCCCCCGCTGCTATTTACTACTTATTTGGGGCACAAAGCCACTGATCAAATTATAGGAGTCTGGCTGGATCATTGAGCTCACAGGGTAGTTGTCAATGGCTCAATGTCTAGCTCGCAGCCAGTATCAAGTGCAGTGCCCTAGCAGTCAGTCCTGGGATGGATTTTGTTTGATATCTTCATGAACAACCTGGGAGATGTCATCTGAAAACTAGATGAGCTTGCACTCTGCCACCAAGCTGGGGGGAATAGTAGATATGTGTCTCTAGTGGGTTATGGAATAGAGAAAATCCCACACAATTTACTGATTCATTTTGATGCACTGGCTGGGGGAGTAGTTAGCTGATTGCACGATTTTACAATGATTACACACTTAATTCATACAACACAATTTTATTTTAAAACTCTTTGCTACGTATATAACACTGCTTAGCTTTAAGAAACACCACAAACATTAAGAACACAATAATTACATATATCAGAAACAATGCTCCGAATGCACTTCCTTCCCAAACAATGCTATAAGAATTAGTGTTACAAAAACAACTACAATTACAACTAAAAGTTAAATTTGAATCAATACTGTTATTTTTCATAATATACTTACAATCCTAGAATTCCGAGAAGCCAAATACCAAAATATGGTTTCATTCCTCAGTAGTACAATTTAATGGGTTGGCCTCAGTAGTACGGTTCAATAGGCTGGCCTCAGCAATACGATTCAATGAGCTGGGCTCACCAGTGATAGGACTACGTCCCCTTCCTTCAGTCCCTTTCGGGCGCTCCGCGGCTTCAGCGTGAACTAAGAGATTCGTGTTCACGGAGAGGCTTGATTAGGTGATCAATCTAATCTGAACTTACACTTGCGATTCTTCCTTCGTTGTTCTGCAAGTGAAGTCACCTCCAAATTGGGACAGTAAGTTACAGGTTTTTATTGAGTGAGCTGCCGTCATTGGGCTCCTCCTACTCAATTCATCATAACTCCCAAATTTGGGCTCGGATCTTACTCAACAGAAATTACCTTTGTTGAGCATTTTTAAATTATTCTTGGGGAGACTTCCATATCACTGTAAATACTCTTTTCTTTTTACCAGTCTGGTTAAAAGGCCCCAGGCTTTGATTTCTCGGAATTTAGGACATTTACTTTCTTTGTAAAAAACTTCTAAAGGTACAATTTAGATTAAGGTTTTAGGCGAAGTCAGGACATTTCGCACGTAGCTCCAAAACAATGAGCTAGATAAGGAGATAGATCCTATCTTCTTCCTGAAACTGGCTAATGGGCAATCTTTACAAACATTCAAACTATTTCATTCAATATGACAATATGTTGGAGGATAGAGCTAGGGTTCAGAGAGACCTTGACAAGTTGGAGGGCTGGACCAAAAGAAATCTCATGAGGTTCAATAAGGACCAGTGCAAGTCCTGCACTTAGATAGTTGCTGTCAAGCCTGTACCGGTGCATGGGGTTATATCATCCTAAGCAGCAGCCCTGTAGCAGGAAAGTGGCAGTTAAAGAGGGCAAAAAGCTGAATACGAGCCAGCTGTGTGCCCTTCTTACAAAGAAGGTTAATGGCATCCTTGGTTTCATTAGTTGAAGCGTTGCCATATCAAGGGAAGTGATTTGTTCCCTCTATTTGGCACTGGTGAGGCCACATCTGGAGTCCTGTGACCAGCTTTGGGCCCCACGCTACAGAAAGGATGTGAACACATTGGGGAGAGTCGAGCAGAGGGCAATGAAAATATTTGTGGGGGCTGAGGGACATGATTGGTGAAGAGAGGCTGCGGGAACTGGACTTATTTAGTCTGGAGAAGAGAAGACTGAGAGGTGGTCTAAACGAAGCTTTCGACTACTTGAAAGGTGGTTATAAAGAGCCTGGAAGTAGACAGAACAAGGAGCAATGGGTTCAAGTTTCCGCTGTCATCTGCCACCAATGAGCTCAGTTTCCTGGCCCTGTGCTCCCTACCAGCCCCTGGGCTAGGACCCAGAGGGAGCCAGCACCCAGACTGCTGCCATGAGCAGCAAATCTGCTCCCGCTTCCCCGCATGTGTAGATACCTGCCTGGGGTAGGTTTTCTCTAGAGTGAATTACTCTAGAGAAAACCCACCCTGGAGCGTTTGCATGTGTAGATGCACCTACTGTTAATGACTCTTGTGTACAGTCCGTGAGTGCCAGTCAGTCTGACAGGCATCGTTCTTGTCTTTTCCAACAGGTAGAGCGGTTGACATGAAACCGAATATGAAGTCATCTGCTGTGTCAGCTTCTAATGATAACACCTCCACCCCTGCCTTCTTCATCCTGGTCGGCATCCCGGGCTTGGAGGATGCTCACATCTGGATCTCCATCCCTTTCTGCTTGATGTACATCGTGGCCCTGCTGGGAAACTCTCTGCTGATATTCATCATTGTCAAGGAGCGAAGCCTCCACGAGCCCATGTACGTGTTTCTGTGCATGCTGGCAGTTGCTGATTTGCTGTTATCTTCCAGCAGCGTGCCAAAAACTCTGAGCATCTTCTGGTCCATCTCCAAGGAGATCTCTTTCGAGGGCTGCCTCACCCAGTTGTTCGTTATACATTTCATTTTCGTGGCCGAGTCAGGCATCCTGGCAGCCATGGCGTTCGATCGCTACGTCGCCATCTGCAACCCCCTGAGATACACGGCAATACTGACTCGCTCGGTCATCGGGATAATAGGGGCAGCTGCCCTTGTTCGAAGCTTCTGTTTGATATTCCCAGCCATTCCCATCTTGAAGCAGCTGCCGTATTGTGGCCACAATGTCATGCCTCACACCTACTGCGAGCACATGGGAGTGGCCCGGCTCGCCTGTGCTGATATAACATTCAATATTAGGTGCGGCATCACAATTGTCTTCCTCTCAGCAGGATTAGACACCATCTTCATTGGGGTCTCCTATGTGCTGATCCTCCGGACTATCGCACGTCTCCCCTCCAAGGAAGCCCATATGAAGGCGCTAAACACCTGCGGCTCTCACATTTTTGTGATATTCATGTTTTACACCCCTGCCTACTTCTCCTTTCTGACCCACCGGTTCGGTCACCACGTCCCAAAGCACCTTCTCATCTTACTGGCCAACCTTTATGTCATCATCCCCCCCACATTAAACCCCATTGTCTACGGGGTGAAAACGAAGCAGATTTGGGAATGTGCGATCCAGATGTTCGTAAAGGTGCGGGCACAATAGTGAGGATGGGAATTGGCAGAGACGCTCCCTGCTGCATTGGGCTTCAGACCAGAGATCCAGTTCAAGTTCATTTCCAATGCAGGGAGTGAGAGAGAGAGAGGCCACATGGTGTAAGTGGGAAGAAAACCTCCTCAGGTCCCACTTGTCCCCACTAAACCATTGTAGGGATGGGAAAGTCTCCCAGTACAAGACCCCCACCAATCAAACAAGTAAACCCACTGGTAGGACTAGCTCCACATTTACCTGATTTAATTTCTGTGCCACTGTGGCCCCAAGAAAAGCTCAGGACAGCTCACGGTAAAACAAATGTTAACGTAACCCAACAACGCAACGCAACGCAATGCAACGCAATGCATATGTTGGTTCAGCTCGTTGCTCTCAGATGATCCTAAGGTGATCTGAGAGCAACTAAATTTGTTCAGCAAAACACATGGGAGTTAATTGTTTCTGTCGACAAGGATGGGGCAGGGGGGTAGTTTCAGAGCTACCAACAATGAAGTTGTAAAGCACTGCCTTGAGGACTGTTTCTGTATTGCTTTGTTTGTGTATCACAAACTGGAGTTATATTTTCCCATGGGCCTTATTTCCAGCTGGAGCTAATTGGAAATGAAAAAATAATAATAATAAACCCTCCCCAAATCTTAGGGGGTGGGAATTCCAAGATGTCAATATAATAATAAACTTAGAAGTTGTGTAGCACTAGACATTACAATGGTAACGGTGTGATTAGAATAAAATCCTGCTGGTCTGTGAAGCTTTGACACCGGTGATATGAAACCCATTGAGACCCTTGGGTGAAGTGTGCCCATCATTCAAGTGGGAAGACTGAGGCACATCCAGGCAAGGGGACTTGTCCCAAGGTCATGCATCTGCTCCGGGTCTCATTCCCACCTCTGGAAGAGGTGAATGCTTCTCAGGGGTGCATGAGAGAAAGTCCATCTGATACACAAGGGTGGAAGAGGACTGTCTTGATGCATACCATGGCCGTTGCATCACAGGCCTCCTTATACAGCTGTGCCCTTGGGCTCTGTCCTGAGATGGTCCATCACACACAGCCCCGCATTTCCCTGAGTAGTTAGTATTACAAGTTCCTATCTAACGCGATTACCATCACCTTCCCCAGGTCTCTTCCACCTAGTATGGCTTTCTTCTTCTTTCCCTCCAGGACCCATATCATTTCTCTTTCTTTCCTGAGTATCACCACTCATACCGCTTGGCTGGGTGCTTCATGAATTCTTCTTTCATTAAGACAGGGATCACATACGTTGTCCTCCGAGGCAAGGACTGGATGGTCACTCCCCTCCACTCCAACCCCAAACCCCAACTAAACCTGGGGCATGGTCATTTATATATGCTAGACCTGAACTAGCATGGCCTTGATAATTGACTTCACTGGAACGAGAATAAAACCCACCTCATACTTGCCCTTTGTGTAGCCTAGTAAAGAGGCTGTCAGGTACCACTATAAAGAGATGCCCTCCTCCACATATCCACCTCTTGGCTGGACTTGCTGTCTATACACCCACCCAACATCTCAGGGGCTCTTTGGACTGAAAACCTGCTCTGGAGGAGAGATGCACCCTAAGTCTCTTTCTCAGCTGTGCCGCCGCCTCTCTGGGCTGTCACGACTGGTCTCACATCCCCCAAACTGGAAAATGTTCTGCCTAACAGGACATTTTTGCTTTCCCAGTAGGAGATGATCTCATTCTTCCACTTCTCTGAAGAGGGGTTTCTATGGCCCTGTGGCCTTCATGCTCCCTAAAGATGGAGTGCAGTTTTAGCAAATGTTCAGATGATGCCAAGCTGAGGAGAGGTGCAGACCCTCTAGAGGGTAGGATTCAGATGCAGAATGACCTTGATAAACTTGAGACAGGGTCCAAAATTAACTGGATATTCAATAAGCACAAGTGCAAAGTCTTGCACTCAGGACAGAACAATGTCAGGCACAAATACCGGGTGGAGAACATCTGGCTAGACACGCAATACTGCAGAAAATGGCCCCGAAGGATATAAAAGACCTTAAACTAAAAATGAGCCAACAGTATGGTCTTTTTGCAGGAAAAAAAACAGGCCATTTACTGGGCTGAATTAATTGGAGCATTGCTTGTAAATTAAGAGAAGGGATTTGCCCACTCTGGACCCAGTCCCCCAAGTGAGGCCTCGCCTCTAATACACAGTTTGAGGCATAGCACTTCAGGCAAGGCATGCACACATTTAAAAGAGTCCAGCGCAGAGCAACAATAATGATTAGAGGTCCCATGGTTGGAATAGATGGAGAAAGTGGGATGATTTAGTGGGATGGAGAAAATGGGATGATTTAGTCTGGAGGAGAGAAGCCAAAGGAGGATTTGATAACAGTCTTCAAGTACCTAAAAAGGATGGACGTGGGCCTTCATTTTTGCTGAAGGGAACTGGAGATGGAGCAATGGTCTTAAATAGGGATATTTAGATGGGATTAGGAAGTACTTTCTCACTTTGGCTGTGGTTCAGCATTGGGACAGGCTGCCCAGAGAGGCTGCGGCATCTCCATCCTTGGCAACGTTTAGGACAACACTTGCCTGGAAAGGTTTAGAGAGAGAAGTCAGCCTGCCTTGAGCAAGGGATGGGACCAAAAGATCTGCTGAGGTCCCTTCCAGTCTTCATTTCTTCTTCTTCTATGGAGAAGTTAAGCTGCTGATCTGCACCATCTTCTCTAGACCACCCTGTGTGTTACACACCTGAGCCTGGCTACCTGCGTAGCTAGAAGAAGTGAGAATAAAGCTGGTCTATGCACGGCCAGTAGGACCACTTCACTGAAGAGCATAAAACAATGCAAAACATCAGCTAAAATGTGGAAAGGGTTAAATTTCTGTTGCCCTTCACCTCTGGAGAGATCTGTGTGGGGCTGGCTTGGTGGAGCCTGTAAGGCTAACAGCATCCCGGGCTGCATTGGTAGGAGTGTTGCCAGAAGTTGAAGGGCAGTGATTCTTCTCCTTTATTCAGCACTGGGGAGGCCACATCTGGAGAGCTGTGTCCAGCTGTGGGCCCCCACTACAGAAAGGATGTGGGCACATTGGAGAGAGCTGAGTGGAAGTTGACAAAAATGTTGAGGGAGGTGGGGGACAGGACTTGTGAAGAAAAACTGAGGGAATTGGGTTTATTTAGTCTGGAGAAGAGGAAACTAAAGGGGGATTGAATAGCAGCCTTCATCTCCCTGCAGGGGGGCTGCAAAGAGGATGGAGCTGGGCTGGTCTCAGTGGGGGCAGATGACAGGACAAGGAGCAATGGGCTCAAGCTGCAAGGGGAATTTAGGTTGGATATGAGGCAAAACTTTCTTACAAGGAGTATAGTAAAACACTGGAACAGGTTCCCCAGAGAGGTGGTGGCATCTCCATCTTTGGAGGTTTTCAAGACCTGAGTAGACAAATCTTTGGCTTGGATGATGAAGCTGGGGCTGATCCTGCTTGGGGCATGGGGTTGGACTAGATGTGTCCTCCTGCGGTCCCTTCCTACCCTTATTTTCTAGGACCCTTTGATCCCAGGCAGGATGAAAGCCCAACGCTCAAACACTTGAGCTGGTGTAATTTGTCAGGTCCCTGAGAGCTTCTGAGGATAGAAAGCCGTTTTCCTAATGACTTTTTTTTAGCAAATAATAGAGCTGGAGTCACAGCATGGGACCCTAGTCTGGTAGCAGCAAAGGGACAGTAAGAAAACTCCTCACATTGAAAGGTATCTGCTCCAGCCCCATGCCCTATGTTTCTAGAGCAATGAGCCCTTGTGGGTTGGATGTCTGGAGGCCACAATCATTTCAGCTACAATCTAGTCCTGTGCTGTCACAAGCAAAAAAGGTCCTCTGCTCACCACATTTCTTGGAGCAGCAGTCTATCTGCGTAGGACCAATAAGGATAGGGGTATTAGGAAGAAACAGATCAGGAAGAGGCAAAGATACCCCAGGAAAATCAGATTCAATTCTCAGGGACTTGCTAGCCAAAGAGGGGTGAAATTCAGAATAGATATTCTTCCCCAGGAATCATGAGTGATAGCTAACCTGACAAGGCTTTTGCTCACCTCGGCTCACAGGTAGAGAAATCTGCATGATGTTGAATACATGTTCCCTCCTCTCATGTTAGCTGCCAATGATAACACCTCCACCCCTGCCTTCTTCATCTCTCACATCTGTGTGATATTCATGTTTTATACCCCTGCCTTCTTCTCCTTCCTAACCCACTGGTTTGGTCACAAATTCCCCCAGCACTTCCTTATCTTGATCACCAACCTCTACATCCTCATGCTGAATCCCACCGTTTATGGGGTGAAAACCGAGGAGATTTGGGAATGCAAGGTCCAGATGCTTCTCTGGGTGTGGGCATGATGCTGAGCAAGGCCTTTGGGGTGGCACCGAGCAATTACTTACCAGTGAGCATGACCGGGGTGAATTGGGACTGAACTTCAGCTTTGTAGAGAGCCAATAGAGACCACATGGAGGTGGATGGGACCATATCCACTGGGGTCCTGCTCCTGACCTGGATGTTTTCAGAGCTTTGGGACAGCCACCCAAAGGGTATAGTGGCTCCAAGCATCCAACCAGGTGAAAATGGGGTGGGATACATTGATGAACAGGATTATATGTCATGGTTCTTTACAAAACAAGGTCTAGACTTGGTGACCCGTGGAGGTCCTTTTTGGTCCCATGATTCCAGGGGTCTGCACATTGCTTTCACTCCAGCCCAGGTCTTTTCTACCTGTCTGTCTATCAAAACACTTTGCTAATCAAATGGGGTTTTGCATTATAAAACATCTTGGAAGGGCATACTCCTACTGTGAGTCCCTGACACAGCTGAAACAGGAAACAAGGCATGCAGGAAAACCTACATCGTCAGATTTTTTTGTGGTTTTCTTGTACTCTTGCATCCTATGTACAACTGTAGCTACCAGAGCTGACTGAAAATAAATCTTTCCTATATTTCTTCCAGAAGTAAGAGAAAGAGAACAAGTATTCCATAGATTAACTGAATGCCCAACATGGTCCAAAGTTTGTGTATAGCTGGCCAATAAATACTGGCTCAAGTATATGTGGTCTTCTTCCATAAGCAGCTAGCCAACCAATGTAGACATATGGCTGCTGTCCAAAATGTTACTGTCAAAGAAACTGGCTGAAAAACATTTTGGGACAGGTTCATTGGGATCTGTTAAATAGAACAGTCAAGGACGTATCCTTGGACATCCCTAAACCAATGATGGGTCTTGCCACACAGAGGAAGAGCCTGTGAAAGGGTCAGGTCTAGTGTAACCCATTCTCCATCAGACGCTGTCTCCAGTGATGGCAAGTAATAAATGAATTAATAGGCTGGGTGAGATGGACCATCGGTCTGACCCAATATGACACCGTGTGTGCTTTTATGCCCAACATATGAGATGTTTAGGGGGTGTGAGGGTAACAGGGACTGTAAAGCTACTGTGATTTTCTCTACCAATAAAAACAGACAAGACACTGAGCAGGGGGTTGGACTAGAAGTGACCTCCAACATTCATTTTCTATGATTTTCCACAGCTCTGAAAGCAAAGTAGGACCAGTCCCAACTACATCATCCCAGCCAAGGTTTTGTCTAGCTGGGTCTTCAAAATCTCCAAGGATGGAGACTCCCCCACCTCTCTGGGTAACCCATTCCAGTGTTTTACTACCCTCCTCCTGAGAAAGTTTGTCCTCATATCTATTCTCAACTTCCCTTGTTGCAACTTGAGCCCATTGCTCCCTGTTATGTCATCTGCCCCCACTGAGAACGGGCCAGCTCCATCCTCTTTGCAGAAGAGAAGACCGAGGGGGGACTGAGCTCCCTGCAGGGGGGTTGCAAACTAAATCAGCCCAGTTCCCTCAGCCTCTTCTTACAAGTCATGTCCTTCAGCCCCACAACCATTTTTGTTTCCCTCCACTGGACTCCCTCCAACTTGTCCACATCCTTTCTGTACTGGGGGGCCCACAGCTGGACACAGGACTCCAGATGTGGCTTTGCCAGGACTGAAAAAGGAGAAGAATCACTTCCCTGGATCTACTGGCAATGCTCCTACCAATGCATCCCGGGATGCCACTAGCCTTCTTGGCACCAAGAGCACACTGCTGGCTTATATTCAGCTTCTTGTCCCCTGTCCCCCCAGGTCCTTTCTTTAGAGTTGTTGTTTAGCAAATCAGCCCCCAGCATGTCCCAGTGCAGGGGATTGTTTTGTCTTAAGTGCAGGACTTTGGAGGATTGGGCCAAAAGAAATCCCATGAGGTTCAACAAGGACAAGTGCAATTTGTCTAGGTCACTCTGAATCCTAGCCCTACCCTCCAGCGTATCTACTGCTCCCCGCAGCGTGCTGTCATTTGCAAACTTGCTGAGGGTGCACTGCATCCCATCTTCCAGGTTGTTAATGAAGATATCGAACAAAACCAGCCCTAGGCCCAACACCTCTGCTTGATACCAGCTGCCATGGAGGAACTGAGCCATTGCTTATTACTCTTTGAGTCTGATGAATGAGCCAGAAAAATATTCCGCATCATTTGCTCAGCTCTAAAACATGATACATGTAGCCCCCACATTTTGGGGAGTGATTCATTTTGTTTGCCACTGGCAAACCCTCCTGGGTTAGGTAGGAAAAAATGGTTTTTAGTACTATCCTTTTATAGAGCTTGGAAGCCTCCATCTCTCTGGCTTCAACTGCAAAATCCACCAGATACCAACACAGCAGCTGTGTGTGTATGTGGGATGGGGTGGGTGTAGCTAGGTCCTGGCTGCTGATCGCTCATTACTAGAAAGGCTCTTTGGACCCCAGCTAGGACCTTGTGGTTTCCTTGCAGGGGAAAGGAGCAATGGCAACAACTGATCTGAAAGAAAGGTTCATAGACAAGGATGCTTTGGGTCCCAGAGGCCTGCAAGAGGACTGTGCACACCTGGCAGCTATTCTAGTTGTGCATGACTCCCTTCTCCTGCTGGAAGTGGTTACAATGGAAATATGATGGGCTTCTCACTGCCATTAAGTGTGATGTGTAATATTAC